GTCTCTCTCACCTCGCTGATTTCAGTAATTTTTTAAGTAATTTTGTCGGGGGCATGATTCTGTGCAAACCTAACTCCCATCCCTGGGCCTTTCCAGTTTTCCAGATATTCGCAAAAATCTGTCGATACCGCTAAATTTTGCCTACAAGTGTACGTCCGTGACAACGTACGCGATAATATTGTAAAAAGTAACGTGCGCACTTTCCACAAAACTAAGATTCGATTATATGTGTGATGATAGTGGCACGTTTCGAGACCGTAGTAAAATTATACAGGGTGGTTGGTAACTGGTGGTACAAGCGGAAAGGGGGTGATTCCACGCGAAAAAGAAGTCGAAAATATAGAATCACCCCCTTTCCGCTTGTACCACCAGTTACCAACCACCCTGTATAATTTTACTACGGTCTCGAAACGTGCCACTATCATCACACATATAATCGAATCTTAGTTTTGTGGAAAGTGCGCACGTTACTTTTTACAATATTATCGCGTACGTTGTCACGGACGTACACTTGTAGGCAAAATTTAGCGGTATCGACAGATTTTTGCGAATATCTGGAAAACTGGAAAGGCCCAGGGATGGGAGTTAGGTTTGCACAGAATCATGCCCCCGACAAAATTACTTAAAAAATTACTGAAATCAGCGAGGTGAGAGAGACGTCGATATCACCTGTTGTACATTCTGAGATTGGATAATAATATTGAATCATTTCACTTTAGAATTCGTAGAATTTAAAAAATTTTTAAGAATTTGTTCCGTTCCCTCTTAAAATTCGTTCCATAATTGCTATACGATACATATTATTAGAGAAGAAGATGCGCATCCAATGTTTCATTTTTTACGACAGTTTTCTACGCCTGATCAAATCTGAAAATAGCGATGATTTACCGCTAGATCTGTAATACGTAGATAACGAGAGTAATTTTTAGACAAAGCGATACAACTTTTATAATAATAAATATAATTTCTATAATAATAAATGTGCTCCTTTGTCATTTTCCTTCTACTCAAAAAAGTTGTCTCGAGCGATTTATCTTCGCGTCAGAGTGAATCATCCGTTCCACGGTGACAGTTTATCTCTCCTCTCACGGAACAAAAGAAAGGACTCGATTGGTTTGCGGTTCCTTCGAACAGTTCAAATCCGGGACCCGCTTCGATTAATCTTTACCGTATACACCAACAGCCTTCTCTACACGCTCTTTAAATCATCCCTTCGCACTTGCCCCACCCTGTATCATCGGCTACGAAATAGAATTGAACCGAACACAAAGAGAAGGAAGTGGAAACTTAAAATCACGTGCTTTGGATTCTCCATAGAAGGAAAGCTGCTCCTGATCCTGTTGTGCGACTGAAGGAAATAGCTTTAACGAGTTACGAAATCCTCGTTTCTATTTCTTTTACTATTCACGTTACGATGCTGTCTGTCGCTCCCTGATTCATATTTCATATTTCAAGCTCTGTTTACCTCTTTTATTATTATTTATTATTAAATATCGTAAGAAAATGTAAATTTGCAACGCCTGGCACGGCTGCCTGGCTGGCCTTCATCACGACCCCTCGGCTGCGGGAAAAAGAAGCGTGTCAACACCGTGTCACGGTGCTATAGCGTAGCAGGCTGCAACGTTCTGCGACGACGAGATGCCCAGTATATTGCAGTATTCTTTGTGAAATGTTCAACGAGGTCGAAAACAGGCGAACGGAACCGACACTTTTACGCGTTTCCTATCCACCCCATTCATCCTTGAATAAACGCGGCGTCTCGGACAAATCGGGATCCGTCTATATCGATAATAGATTATATTCCACCGAAATTCGCTTACACTATATGATATATATTTCTTTTTAATAAGAATATTTATTTTGCTCGTGCCATGTGCGTTTATAGGAATAAGAAAAATATAGTACAAGTAACACCAGCAACTCCGAGGCAAGGAATCGAGATGTATAGAGAATACAAGAATGCAGAAATTCAAATTTCCAAATCTATCAAAATCGTGCGAGGGAAAAAGGCATTCGATCGATTTTCAAGCGACTCTTAAACACGACGAATGCGCGGTAACTCTTAAATAACAGCTTGCAGCAAAACAGAAGAGAAGAGAAGAGAAGAATAGAGTAGAACAGTGCCAATTATAATTGCGACATGTTAATTGCGGTGCGTTAGTTAGGTGATTGGACGAGGGTTGTAAAATCCATCTCTCCGCGTCCAGGTCTGCCACCGTCTGTTTATCGTTTTCGAACTGTCCAGGAAACTATGGAGCGCTCACTCTGCACCGAAACTGACCCGAAAACATTGGCATTATGCCGGCGTGGTATAGTACCGCGGATTTATTGTCAGTCGGTATAACGACTCGTTTGGAAACATTTTAGTCCCATATCAGGTTACACGACAAATCACAGACATTCCTTGTAAAAAAATATACCTATTAATTCTATCCCTACCTAATGTCTAGAAATCTAATATCTAGAAGGCTTAGCCTTTCGAGGAATTACATAGCGCAAGGCGCAAGCGGACGATTTTAAATGGTGAAAACGAAAAATCCCTCCCGATAAGGAATGGGAAGATATTACTTCGTATTTCCAATACGGAGCAGGATCTACGAATTACGATACCGGAATATTATTCGTAACAGAGCGATCCTTTTCAGTTCAGTCACGTAGATGCCGCGGCAACATTTCCATGCTCTGTTCCTTCCTGACCTGAGAAAGTTACAGCGGCAATAAGTAAAACAGATTTCCCAAAAACTGCTTCCCCAGGTAATTTAATTTAGTTAACGTTTATGTACTTTATTCTGGCACATATATATGTCGGAGATGAAAGAACACCGGGGCCTTTCTTTGGAATTCTTCGGAAAATCCCCAATACCTTAGTCTTTATGCTTCGGCTGGAAGTGATAACTAGTCTCTGAACGTAGCCGCGGTCACGGGATGAACGTTTTTACCTAATAGAGGTATAGAGTTGAGGTGTAAGTGTTGTCCGTGATAATTGTAGCGCTGGCTGTAGATGTCGCTGCTGGTGTACTGCTGCTTTTTCTTCTGATTTAGATGCGTGGAAGAAAAATTCGACTCTGGTCGCCGGGATTCGAAGCCGGGTTCCGAACGTTCGTAACCTAAGGTGCTAATCATTGCGCTGCCGTTATCCGACACTAGTTAGTGTCGAGTGGCTGTATTTGCTGTTGAATGTCGCCACAGAGTAACTGTATAACTCTCATTAAAAAGAAATAGTTGTAGCGGCACGCGACAGTAAACCCTCCAACGGTTTCTGTCCCGTGGCTTACTATACAAAGACCCCATTCTTCGGACAAGATGATTGCCAGATGTCGATACATCTTCACAGTATATTTCCAGCTAGCCTAAAAACCCGCTATAAATCTTAGGATTTTGTTAACTAAGGTCCTTCAGAAGGACAAACAGTCTTTATCCTAATAGTCCCTAAATTTACCATCTACTACGGGAAGATACAGGAAATCTGCTTTTCTTCCCGCTGGCAATTTTCTCTCAAGAGCGGTTAGCATTCTTCTTCAACCACCAACATAGAAATTAACCGATTAGCAGCAACGCCAATTTCCCTTACTTTCTGAAGGAAGGCTTTTCTCGACGAATCCGATGATCTCGTGTCCTTAGACACACCCCATTATAGTTTTCCTCTGTGGCATCATCGGGACGGGAAATTCATTCTCTCTCGCGATCTCATCGACGAAAAGAGTAACCAGTGAATATTACGCGCCCGACTTAGATTTTGTGAGCACGTTCATCTATCATCCCGTCGACCGCGGATTCGTTATTGAACCTAGGATCATCGTCATTAGTTTCTCGAATATCTAATTACCACGATTACTTGTCCGGTTCTATGATAATCGTATTTGCACTAGTCAATGTCTTCTCTATTGCATAACGACAACGTGTAATCCAAACGAAGATTCGTTTCACGCCCCTAACCCTAATTCTAATGTAAACCCGACATATATAAAAGTAAAAAAATCCCAAAGGAAAGGCCCCGATTGAATACAGATGGTATACAGAAGAAACTTCATCTTCCTTAATATAATAATTAGTTGATGATTAGCCCGTCAAAGTCAAATTCAAAATCCAAATAAACAACATTTCATACGCATCGAACAGTTACTTAATATTACTGTATTACTAATAGTAATTATTAGTTATTACTAATAATAACCATAATAACAACCATAATTACTATTAGAAAATATTATGAAAAACGTCTTTGAATGATGAATCATCTGAATCATAAGCATCTTGCATGTCTTATAACCCTTGAATCTTATAGAAATATACAATCTTAATGAATATTTTCCTCCTTTTTAAACAATCTCACATTTATGTATGAATATAGCGGAAGGTTAGATTGATTCTCATGAATATGCAAACTAAAAGTACACGCCAAGTTTAAAGGAAAGTTGGGAATTTTGCAAGTATGCGAACCTTATTAAGGCGTGAATTCGATTGGGAAATTATTACCTCGTGGAACAAAAACCGGCTTATCGAAAATTTTCATTTTCTCCTGTGAAAAATCTAATTTTACAGTTTTAATACAGTTCTGGATATTGATACTTATCATAAATGTTCCTCCTTGGTAAGTTGAACATTTCAACACCTAATCATCTAATTCACCTAATTTCAACAACTACATCTAATTAAAATTCCACTAGAAAAATTTCCGCATGTGCCCCCCAAAGAATTTAACTTTATGTTTTTCAGTTTGCTAAACTTCCTATTTCTTCAAGTGTTGTGACAATATCTTTATGTTGGTCACAAGATAGCTTCAATCATAACTCTTACATCTTATAAACTGTACAAGTACATACATATTTATCTTGTAGAGCAAAACGCCTGTGACCACAATATAAATTGTACATATAATATAATAATAAATAAATTATACATCATAATCATACATATAGGGAACGTAGCACGTTTAATATAAACACATGTACGTGTATAATTGTCTATATTCTCCAAATTAAGTTCAAAGAGGCACTCACCTTTCAGCGCAGCTTCCAAACCACGTAACCTTCCGACGATTGCAGCAAGCTGTGACTTATACTTTAACGAATCTTTCTCAGTTTGCTCGCTGAGTGCACGTTTCAACTTCCTATCCGCTTCCTGTTCCTTTATCGCAAGTGCGTCCTGAATGTGATCGGTGTGCACCTGCCCTTGCAGTTTCAGCTGCCGTCGTATCTCGTCCTCGAATCTTTTCTGCTCCTCCAGCAACTATGATCACCACGGCATAAAAAGATTAATCATTCTTCGATCTGTCTCCGACGATTTTCGTTTCTTATTGAACAATCCGTATCAATTTAGTAGTCCATTTATTTAGACATTTATCAAACTAAAATGGATAGAACGAGTCTCCAGCGAATACAATGGGCCATCGAGCGCGTTTTCAGTCGAAGCGAAACGTCCCACGTACAGGTGAAATAAGAATAAAATGAAATAAAATAAAAATAAAAATGCGTGAAAAAGGAAAAACGAGAAGACGGGGCGGGGGGCGGCGGGCAGCGAAAAAGTGAAAAATATGATTCTTGACACTCCGGCAGTGTTTCCCACATGTTGCACCGTGAAAATTAAGTTAAACGGACGACCGACCGCCCGCGTCAACCAGAAAGAAATTTGAAAAGGGCACAAGTTAAAAAAAACCGATACCACATATCGGGATCGAACAAATCCGCTGCATCGTTTTCTAATCTATTTCGAAAGATGAGAAACTGTTCGGTCCACGGCCACCTGCCGTGATAATTGCGCAGTGAAATGGAATCGAAAGAACCGTGCATATCTGAATAATTTCACACTCGTACAAAGCAACATCGCAGAATAATCTTCTCATAAAAAAGTCGAACTTAATACAACCGACTCTAAACGTCCGAAGCAAAATGCGTTTTACTGCTCTTGGAATCTGAGTAATTTCCCATTGTCCTCGAAACTTGCAGCTCTGAGTCCAGAGATAAAAGTTGGACGGAACCGATTCACAGATCAATTTCTTCTTCGAGAGTTGCTTAAACGAAATCGACTCGAAGGTTCAGGTTTAATAACACGGAATCGAGTTTTTCACGATTGATACGTATTTCCGACCCATTTCCGACCCATTTCCGACCGACGGAACGCCTGAAAAGATATCCGGCAGTGATAGTTTCAGTTTAGCGGGCGATCCACCGGTGTCGATGTCGATAGCCACCCGATTTCGGCGACGAGAATGCACGAGTCGATTATTTTAATATTCAACGGACGCCGATTCTTGCACTCGGGAACCTTTAAACTGACGGTGGGAAAAGCAGAAAAGTTTCTCGGCATGCTTCGATACTCCATCTACGAAATGAATTTTCTTCGAAATCTACCGCGAAAGTGATAGGGAAATTTAGACGCTTCAACAATATGGTTGAAAGTCGAAAGTCAATAAACTCCAATGATGTTTCTTCGATGAAATTTCACGTTGAATTTATTGATTCAACGCGTATTTTTCTAGATTTGTTGCAAAATTTCGAAATATCAGGAGCGAAATATTTAATTTTATAGAAAATACAAGTTAAATTTGATCTAGTTAAGAAGCAAATTTTGATTTTACTTCGCATTGAAATAAATAATATATAATTCTACTAAATATAAATATAGAATTGTCTGAGAGCACAACATACCAAATAAATGATAATGAGAATAAGATTCTCGTGAATATTCCTTATTTATTCTTGATTCAATTTACGAATACTTATTGCACGTACTGTAAAATAGATTTATCACATTCCCAAATATTTCAACTGTTATTTCGTAGGTAATTATTGAAATCCACGAGCAAAGCCCAAAACTAATGTCTGCTGTAACAAAATAAGATTCATGAAATTAATAACAGCCGTACAGCGCAACCGAAGCTAGGAAAGAGATCAAGTAGTATTAAACCAAGTGAAGTCGGACATTCGATATTTTACAACTGTTCACGTACTGAACTGATTATAAAATCCATTCAATAAGATCTCCATATTTTCTCACAGTACTATAAAAGAAATTTCATTCGAAAAATAAGTTTTACGTAAAATATCAAAAGCAAAATATGTTTTATAATATTTAGAAAAGAAAAAAAAACAGACATACTTTTATCTAAGGTTCAACATAACGTAAGAACATGACATACGAAACGTCCAAAGTAAAATAAAGCAGATACTATTTACGATATCTATAGTATGCAAGAAATTTCTCCTTCTTCCTTTTTCTTTTCCTCTTTTTTTAAATATAACAGCGTACACAAACACTTAAATTTTCATAAATATCTGCAATCTAATTATGTGTTAGTAAAATATAGCGCATTTGAGCAAGATTTTCCAGTTTAGTTTCAGATAAGCGTCCACTCGCTCCATTCTCCCGCTGTTTAACCTCAATTTTTGACTTTAATTTCAACAACGTTGATCTATATATCCAACTCTCATTTGCGAAATAAATCAACCCGGAAAGAGGCAGGGCAGAGAGGGTTCAAATTGAAATCGCGTTACCGGCGAATTTTTCTCTCGACTATGCCTGTGGCTGGTTCTAAATTATTCCACGCTGCGTCCATAAAGTCTGGATGGCCCATAACGGGACCAGAAGGCACACACGCCGATCGATATCGTTCGAACGGGGCAAAAGGTCTGTCTGTGTGATCAGGCAGTTTTTCGATTTACGCACGCCCGTACCGAAAACAATGTTCATGCCTTCATCCAGGTTGCTAGCGCAACACTTGTTCAAGACGATACATTTACGAAAAACCGGATGTACGGTCTAATCTACGTTGTGCCACCATCTACCTTAAAGATCGCTCAAAAGCCGCAGCAACAACCTAAAAAATACGCTGCCTTCTTTTATATCGGTGCGTGAGGATGGAAATGCGCGTGTGACAGATACGATATATTGGCATCCGGTATGCATCGTTGTTGAATTGAAAATAGTTCAGTATAGTCGCCAAGGAAGCAAAAAAATAGAGTTTATTCAGAAGAGAAGGAAAAGCAAGAAGAACAGAATGAAAACTGTCGACTCGTGAATTTGTAATCCATTGTCTATTTGCTGTTGTAATTTGAATAATAATTTCTCGAATTCGAAAGATAATTCCGTCCAGAGAAAATCGATGAAATGTGGTGTGTTTATCGAGACTTTTGGGGAATTGAGTGGTCGGAATAATTTTTACATAATATTCGAGAAATTGAATATTTCGAACATCTAAAAGATTGAATCATTAGACCAGTTTTTGAGTCATTCTCTCTCTTTTCTCTTTCTCTTTTTTTTCTCTCTTCTTTTCATGATTATCGCATTAATGTAATTTGGAAGTTGAACTTTAGAAAAGAAATTTTACAAACTGTCCTCAATACCATTGGTAATAGTTCACCAACTAAAAAATTGCGAAAATATGTAGATACTAGAAAAATGTCGCATTCTTATACGTTCTTTTTATCGCGGTAACACAGGAATCAGAATTACGTCACGACTGAATGTCGATGGTCCAGATCAGTATTTAGGTCAAATAATCATCAGGCTTTCTGTTTGGTACCATTGACGTCAAAATTCAAGCCCTACGTGAATGTTTAATTCATGAAGGATGGATGTTTAGAACACGCGCAAACAAAGGAGAATTACAAAACACCTTCCCACATCCACACAGGATGTGGATGCTAAACGCATGATACTAAAATTCTCGCATGAAAACACATACCGTGGTGATTTGTTGCTAAAGAAAATGAGGTACGTCAACTCTGAGCCCCTCGTTTACTGAAAATTGAAAGCCTTTGAAGAGACGCGTATAATGTTAACGCGAAGCTCTCCTGGACGGACAGAAGGAATACTTTATGCGCAAATGTCAAGTAACAATTTAGTAGGTCCACTCTTTCATCGCGATCAACTCGTCCACGCCACTCTATAGCAATTTCTGTCAAAAATTCTCTCTTCCTGTCGTCCAGACTACCCTATCTATCCCTCTGTGAGGTCACGTTGACAATTATTCACGACTACTTACATTGCCAGTTTCTTAACTTACATATTCTCCCAAATCTTCGAATAAGACCGAAAACAGCGGATTCTCGACTGTGTATTAAGTCCTTGGCGGGATTTCAAAGTCGTTCGAGGAAGAAATGATTTCATCGATATTAGAAATCGTGTTCCGATCGATCGAGCAACTTTCAAAGCTTCCAAATCGACTTGAGTCTCTCAGTTCTCGGAAGGTTTATATTTTCGATTTTACGAGTCGCAACAGAAGCCGTCGTTACAATAAAAGAAATCCTGACCAAGGACATTTCATTTGCAACTAAACTGTTTCGCGTGGTTAAATTACTTTTTAGATTAAACGTGCGATCAAATGAAATGAAATTTTTAAGATATTGCAAATTTTTCCTTAAATTTATTTCCTTAAAATACGATACAAAATACTTTTAAGTACACAAATGTAAAAAAAAACGAATTTTCAAGCCCTTAAACAACAAATGTTTCAATTGAGAGTAAAATATGTACAATGAAAATAATTAAACCATATACGTCAGCGTGTAGTCAGCATACGTCCAATCGATGCACTATCGTCCTAAATTTTCTCTATGACCCAGTCAGATCCGTTAACTTGTATCCCGAATGGAATCGAGGGCAAACTCCGAAACGAACTTCGAAATGAACTCCGAAGCGAACTCCGAAGACAACTATAACGATAGCAAGTCATAGTGATTCCTCTGAGCGAGAATATCTCGGTGTGACTAGGCACGTGTATACCGGATATACTGCAAGGTTAGTCTAAAGAGATAATATTGCCTAACACTAGCAAAATATTGGCGGCATGCCAAATGGAAATAGGTAAAAAGTCCGAAAGATGGCAACATGAACTCTCCAACTCTTTTTCCACTCATCATCCTTTGCCAAATAGACAGATATACGCCCGTATACGTATACAGAGATACGAGATACGTAACATTTTCCATATGCAATCGCACAGAACGACCAAAGTATGCGACGGAATGTGCCATCGCCTTTTCTAATGTCATATTCTATTCGTTATAATCATGAAACCGTGTATACCCACCGTTTACTTTCACGAGGCAGCTACCGATTCAAACTCTCTTCATACTAATTTATTGTTACCTTGCGGGGGTTATTGCCTTCACGCGTGTTTCGTTAATTTCCCACGGGAAATTGGTCACATAATTTTCAAATGGACTACGCCTGAGAATATAAATTTGAACTGCACGGTATTACGCGTGATAATGCTATGATTTAATATTTTCTTCAGTCTCGTTGGAAAGTTTTGCGTTATTTCTTCCAGATTTGTGATGGGCGAATTAACGCGACCGTGATACCACAGGCACATACACTCGTGTGTTTCATTTGGACATAAGGCTCAACTATGTATATATACGGAGATTTTAGAATGGAAGTAACTCTCTTACCTTTTTGTTAAACTCGTCCTGAAGAACTTGCTTCTCCTTGTCCAGCTCGAGGCATACCAAGGCGTCGAGTCTTTCCTGAGTCGCTACATCGCCCGATGATTTTAATGCTGCCTTGAGTTTACTTTCGTTGACCGTCTATAACCCGACAAAATATAGAACACTTACCGATTTTTACACTCGAATATTTGAGTGACTTATATAATACCTTATACTAATATTTACCCTCATTTTTTCCAATTCCTTTTGCAAACCATTCACTTTGTTATACATGTGTAGAACGAATAAGTCAAAAGCGTCTTCGTCGATGGCCAATTTTTTCTCATGAATGTTGATATCGGGGAAGAGTATCTGAAGTTCTTCGTTGAGATTTTCACGGGCAGTTCTGACTTGCTTCCAGTAACGCTCGGCCATATTGCTACTTTGTATTTCCATTTCGTACTTTTTCTTCGCTTCGTCCACGTCATCTAAGATTTTCTTGATATTTCTTCGAGCGGCAGTTTTCATGTGTGATGGCGCCTCGAATTTAGGGTCGTCGATTAAATTATACATCTTTTTCAACGAATCGAGTGCTTGATTGGCGTGATCTTCCGCCTCTTTAATGGCCTCCCTCCTCTTCTCCGTTGCATCCTTTAGTCTAGAATTAATAGATAAACGTTTCTCATTTAAGAGAACATATAATTACTTTATTAATATAAAGTAGTATGCATGAGAAAAAAATACCTGTTCCAGACAGAGCTACCAACGGTGGCGTTAACACTTTCTACGACTTTTATCACATCTTGATTGTAATCTTGAATAGCACACGCTGCTGTTTGATAAGCTGCGATAGCTTTGGACGCAGTTTCGCCAGCAGAAGTTTCCAGTTCGACCAGATTTACTGGCATCAATTCCTCGGATACATCCTTGGCAGGTGGCTGAGGTTTTTCGGCCACTGAGAACATAGCATGCACGTTCATCTTCTGTTATGTAGAAAGATAAAATTTGGTCACATAGAATTACACGTTTAAAGACCTACCGATTTCGATTTCTTCTCCTTTTTCCTTACTTAATCTTATTTCGGTATAAGGATCGTTATTAGGTGGTTCCTTCTTATCAATGAGTGGTACAAAAACTGGCTTTGGTGCTATAGTACACATGTTATTATCAAATGTTAGTAAGCAAAATAGTAATTACCTAGTCCCTGTTTTAAATAAAACAGTTTTTTTATATAGCAAAACTTTACATCTAAGGCGATTAAAAAACGAAGGAAAGGAAGGAATGGGGTTAGGAATTATTAATGGAGCTCACGTATATAGTCTTCAAGGTTCGCGCAATCTAATCTTTTCTGACCTGATTCTTTTTGTGATTCTCCTCCAAAGATGGCACTTAATAATCTAAAATAAAACAATACTTAGATTATTCTCGATTATTACGATATAATTTACGTTATAATTTATATCACAAATTCAAATAGTAATAAAGTCCAACTTACGTTTGCTTTAACGATTCAAAGAATGTACGTATGAATTCAAAATAGGACGATTCCTCCTGAAAGATGATCTGAATTGTTTTGTCTGTACCAGGTACCCAACTTTCAAGATTTGCACGGAATTCCGGGTTATGCTTTGTGTAAAACAATACACCCGATGCTCCTATTGCCACGGCAGTTAGAGTTAGCAGTGTTCTCGAGCCTCTACTTTTCTCGCTTTAATAATAAACATTGCGAAACAGATTATACTTATTTAACAAACAGGAAAGTTTATTAATTTGTGGAAAGAAAGCTTATAATCATTTACATATTTACGCTACATTCTATAACATTTATTTTAATTTTTAAAGACACATTTCATATTCAACATTTTTTTAATGAAAGAAGATCATAATTTATTATGTAATACAATGTAACAATACTCTCACAAACCTTGAATACCTCTTTGTTGAATCCGTGGAATACCTATGTCCAGATATTCTGGATACAAGCTCCACATCCTTGGAAAATCTAAAACATACGATGCACATGAAATGACACGTTGAAATATATCGTATAATCGGTATGAATATATATCACATGACCATTCAAAATGTATAATTACATAATAAATTTGCTCTAAATGGTAATGTAAAGTGTTCAAATACGAAATCTACGGAATAGAAAATCTTGTCAAATATAACCTAACCTGCACCTAAATGGGAGTTAAATTCAAAATACACATATGTAGATTGGATAACATATGCAGACTTCCACTTGATAAAATGTATCACGTAAGGATTCAAATAGAAACAACAATACAAAGTATTTTTCTCCTCTAGAAACAACTCAAACGATGACAAGTTTGACAATTGTGGAAATGAGTTTAGAAAACAGGCGGAGAAATCAATTCGCTTACCTACATTCCGGGTCGTATTTAACTCGTGCACGTGTCTCGTAACATCTAGTTGTCAAATACAGCCTGGAAGATCCATGCTTTTTGACCTAAAAGACCAACAGTGGCGGTGAAATCGCCTGGAATTATGTAAGCTCCTAAATATAAGCCATCTTGTCACACGAGGCGGGCAACCTTGGTCTTTGCAGGAATATTCACTGACAACTTGCGAAAACATCGTCATCGTGTTACGATCACGATTTCTCATACAGATCACGAGTTATGTCTTCCCAGAATAGCAGCAAACAACAACGAATTATTCAAATATTATCACAGGAGACAATCGCGACAGTAATGTCTAATAGCATAATGTGAGCGACAATTTTCTATAATCCTTTCGTATTTTTCGTTAAATCTGTGTAATGCAAAATCACCAGGCTCGCAAGTACAATTTCTTACTTTTTACTTACTTTACGTACCCTATTTAGACCGTTGCACGGAAATTTTAATCCAATTCGGAACATCTTTCGGGTGGCCGGTTAGGCAGCCAAAGGAAAAAGGGAACGACGGTACAAAACAGCTGGTTACCGACGGAACTAGAGGAAAAGAAGAATGTTGCGTATTCTTAGTACCGCTATTCGAGGTGCGTGATAGGTATTTCCTTATGAGTTCACTGATACTACCCTCATCTACATCGAACGATAATTCGGTGGCTTCATTTTAAACTATTATTCGTTGGAATTCAATAGTTCATTGTGCGATAATCATTGCAAGTTCGTGCATTATAGGTTATGTTTGATTAGATCAATCAACCATTTTGATTCTCTGACGAACGGAACACGGTGGAATTGAAAACGAGCGCGATTATTAAACTGATGCGCATATGTCTACCAAACATGTCTCACTTTACAATTTAAATTAATTTTATCATGAAATCCTGTGACTTGATTATTGTTCATGTAATTAATCTTATATCAATATTTCAGATATTGCTTTGCGAGACAGTGTTGTCAATGTAACAAGTTCTCTGATCCCTAAACAATGCCCTATTACACAATGTATTCAACATAGGTTCTTTGGTGCGTTTTCTTCTACAATAAGTAAATGCAACGATGTTGGTAACACTAAACAAAAGCCAATATTTGGGTATGTACACTTATATATATATATTATATATATATTATATATATTACTACTATATTATTATATTATATATATAATATTACATAATATTATATAACATTAATCTGATATCAGTTACTGTCAGTCATGTAATTAAACTTAACAGCAAGATACAAGTTGATAGCGTTGTATCTCCAATGCTAGTAACTACAACAACTCCTGCGAGAACAGTTACAAAATATTCTAGGAAGAAAGGTAAAAGAAAGTCTGTGAAAGCTGTGCTTGATAGGTTCTATAGACTAAATTGGTAAAATTTCAATATGATTTAATATTGTAATACTTACTGTTTAGTATACTATGCAATATATGTTTATTTAATTATAGGGGCATATGGATCAGAACTTTTGCTGGACGTCATAGAAGTTTGTGGAAAAAGTCTCAGAGAAGCAAATATAGACTGAGACAGCATGTTTTTTGTAATGCAACGCAATCTACTATGTTGGACAAAATGGTAACAAGCTATTGGAAAAGACCGCACTATTATATAGATGATCCTTATAACCCATATCACAAACGCGAAGAGTTTCCTTTCACAAGAACCAAACCAAGACCATTCTAGATAATACAGCTTGTATAAACTTTGCTGAAAAGACCTATATTTGGAAATAAAAAGTCTGTTCCCGTGTATGTAATTTCCTTGAAAAATTTAATCATTTAAGAAATTAATAGAAATTTAAGAATTAGTCCAATTATGTAATGTAATCATTCAATCTTAAGTGATATTATGTAAACTGAATAAACCTTGATTATAAAAGTTTGAAGAAGCATAACTTAACTAAGTAATGGTTAAAATCTTAACAGGTTGATTATCATAATAGTCTCCAGTGACTGCGCTTATCATGACATCCTGATGATCACTGGCGATCGGCGTTAAAGTAGTTAAAATAAGATGAATATCATTGACTAAAATAATTTTTAATAATGTAAATAATTGAGTAACATTGTTACTCAAATAAAAGTTGTATTATGTTACTATATTGTAGCTCTTAGGACAGGGCATATATACATAAACTCATGTACGGTGATCGTCGGTTACTTTTGAAGATGAATCACATTTTATCAGGATCACGTGGTTTCCCCTGCTATAAGTCGACAACGCTAGAGTGGTGCAATGTGTTCAGTTGTAGTTCGCCTTTCGTGGTGAGTCTTTTTGTTATCTGGTGATATCCTCATTCTTCTTTCCACGTCTAGGATCAATTTATAACATTGCGTTTTTATCGAGCCGATAAGGATTTTTATCGGCAAGAAAAATGCCTTTCCGTTGTAAATTGCGTTTGATTAGTAGAGTCTGCTTGGCCTTTAAAAATTCGTGCACCGAGAAAAGCAATTCGCATTTCGCTGCTAGCATAACCAACAGGAACTTCTCTATCAGTGGCACGGTCAACATGAGGTGAGTCGTAACATCTAACTAGAACTTTAATCGAATTTTTAATCTGGTAATACTCTAAAATAGTTTCTTTTATTCTTTTTTTTTTATTTTGTTGTATAAAATAATTACACTTTGAGCAATACTCTGAAGTGATGGAATTTGGTGCGATATTTTTTATTGGCCTATGCTTTACATGTTTTTCTGTTTACTCTTTTAGACGCGTCTAGTTTTAAGCGAATTGATTCGCCCATTCAAAAATGGCTCGCGGCGTTAATAGACACTGTTACGTATTTGCTTCGAGATAATATGGTTTACTTTGGTTCGATGACTTGTTTAATAGGGACAAGCTTACCAAAATATAAAAGACGAATTTATATACAATTGATGTGTTTTAAGTGTTTTGGATACTATTTAGATAATATATATATATATATATATATATATATATATATCATATATCATATATATTTATCATGTTTTCTTCTAAATAGTAAAGAAAAGTTCACGAGAATGATTTCACTAGACGCATTTTTATGTTTCAATAAACAACAATCATGTAGAGTCAATTCATTGAGGAACACGATAGTTTATTTGATTCAAACACCTGAATTCGATTAGGTGTATAATTATGTCATCGGCACTGAACAGATCTGAATTTATACACTCACGAGGCGCTTTCCATGCTGAACTTAGTTGCGTGTAATATACACATGCCAAGGAGGGATTCGATACGTTTGCATAAATCGACATTATTTTAACATACTGTTAAACTACTTATATCGCAGAGATCTCGGAAAGGAATCTCGCGAGATATTATAGGAGCTAGGATACTGCTCTCTATCGCTCACCATCACGTCATGCTATAATTTTGTTTGTGTATGACACTTTTGGTCAATACGCGTGCTTAACTTTAAGATTCTATTGAATTTCGTGAAAAACAACCAATCAGGCCCGCATTCCTTCCAGACGACTTCTTTCCATCCTCGTATTGTATATGAAACACCAGTGATCCACGCGGGACATTTTGTTCGAGTCGTATGATATTTTGGTTATAGAAAGAAACTAAATTATGAAGTACTTCCTGATATCATCTGTCGGTACACAATTATAGCGTCTGTTTGCACCCCGTCGGTATATGCATATCACATATTCTTGAAATTTGCTCGACTCTATGTTGCATTGTGAACAATAATGCCAGAGTATGCAGTTACTTGCTGCGATTGCAATAAAAGAAAGTGAAAAATGTTCTGTTTTAAAATACAATTGAAAGTGAGCTTATAATATATGGAATTATACAATAATTAATTCTACTACGTTTTTTGAGTTATTTCTCGCCTAGTCGTGTTTTCTAGCGTTAAAAAATTCGTAATTAATACATATTTTATTACAATTTTATGTTAAAATCTTTTTTAAATACGGGAGCGATATTTGCTGGAATTGTTTACTGGAAATAAAATGAGATATTGTTCGTTTTTAACTATCTGCTGGAAATAAAATGAGATGTTGTTCGTTTCTAACTATCTGCTGGAAATAAAATGAGATGTTGTTCGTTTTTAATTAATGTTGAACGAATTTAAGATTCACATTCAGAGATTGATTATTTTGTTATCGTCTTATCATCTTATCATAGTTTATTGATAACATTTTTGTTGAACAAATATTTATCAATAACTTTTACGCATAAATATGGTCGAGTTGCATTAAAAAAGAAATGTTTGATTGAGAGCTGTATTTACCTCATTGGAGGATTACCTCTTCAAATCATCCGACAATCCATCAGTCTCGATTTTCGTTGTTCAGCTTTCCAAGATCGACACAAAAATTGTGCTGTTTATATGTTATAAAATATTACTTCAATATCATTGTTTTTCATTATGAAATCAAACAAAAACATTTCCACACTTAGAAGGTTTCTAAAGTAAGAGAAGGTAATGGCATTTGTCCTAGAGAAATTGATAAATTAGTTAATTTTATGATTATGAATTACTTCTATTTATTAGAAGTTAAGTGCAATCGTTCAGATAAGTTTATTACTTAGATAGGTTTATTTGGATATTTGCCTTTTTGGCTAATTATTAAACGTACATTTATCACGCATATAGATTGATTATTAATTATTGGATTTATTATTTTCATTGATCAGACAGATTTAAACAGTTTGATTAAATAGGATTACATTAGTGGATATTATTTGAATCATAAATAAATCCATTATTATACATATATTTATTCTTCAGGTTTGTGCAATTCACCGGCAAAGATGGCGGACCTCAGCATTTGGGGGTGCAACTTGTCCAAGGGGGTGACATAATCGCCGTTTCCGCTGTGGACTCGCGAATTCCTAACACAATGAAAAAATTTTTGGAAGGTGGCGACGACATATTGAAAAAAGCCAAAAGGTAGGTATGGAACGATTCAAAATAATCAAGAGGCCATAATAATACGAGCTATCACGCTGTACAAATGATGTAAGCATATTGAAAAGAAAAAAAACAGAGATATTATGTTGAGGGGCACGCGATAATTTACAGATAAACAGGTCGCAGCTGATTTAGAAGAAGGTTATGATGGATCTTGGGTAGGATAACTGAACTTTTTGTATGTATGTTACATGAAGATTAATTAAAAATTTCTAAGACATTGTAAAAAAGAGAGAAAACGTACGGTTATTAGTTAAAAAATATTTGAAATAATTTCCAGAACATCCAGAATTATGTCAAAAGTTGTTGAAAAATTACGAGATATAAAGAAAGAAAAGAAGGATATGTACTCGCATATACTTCAATATGTACTTCAATAATCACATTTGACAATGAGATTCTTATTACGATATTCCGTTCCATTTCATAGATGATCATTTTGTTCCCAGGGAAGACGAAGTGAACCTGTTGACCATGGTAGAAAGGTTTGTGCCATTGAAAGAATTCAGTGTGAAAAAGATTCTTTGCGCATCATTTAAGCCCCTCTAAATTAAGCTTCTGTAAGATACCATTAATCCATAGTGTCTGTCTTTTTCTCTGCGTTTGTGTAAACAATTCCCCATTGTTCGTACTTGTATATAATTCA